TGTAAAATACACTGTAACAAAATGTACACCGCCACACAATATACACAATGTCAGTAACTCACTGTCTAACATACACTTCCAGAATATGTAATCTCTACAATGCCAGAATATGTACTTCCAAAAATTCAATATGTAAAATACACTGTAACAAAATGTACACCGCCACACAATATACACAATGTCAGTAACTCACTGTCTAACATACACTTCCAAAATATATACACTGCCACGAAATATCTACACTAGCACAATATATACACTGCCAAAAATGCCCTGCCATAATACAATTCCACATTTCACAAGGAATTTAATAAGAATTAAAAGAATGCAACTTATACCCTATTCACTATTTGTAAGTCAATGGTGCAATTAGGCGAGTTATTATATAGTAATAAAAAAATCAAGTTATAGTATAAAGAGTACAACTATTAAAAGAGTGAAAAAAACAAAGAATGTGTCTGAACAACGTCAAAAATGAATGAAGGAAAGCATTAAGAATTGTATATTATACGGAATATGAAAGAGTGCAGTGTCAATTTGGTATTGGGTTTTTGCATGTTTTTACGTTATGCCCCAAATTCAAACACCGTGTGCATCTTTGCTTTCTACGCCTATGGCCTATCTGAAATTCACCGACTGATGGAAGTCTCCTCTTCTTTGGTCTACCCGGGGGACGCTTATTACAAGATGGAGGCTTGCAAATCACTAATGAAACATTCGGCAGAACACTCCAGGAGGATTTATCTCCTATTGGGTGCACAATGCCATTGTAAGTTGCAACTAATGATTCCCGTCTGTAGTACGGTGAGATGAAATCATAACATGACAAACCAGGGCGAGACGCAGTAGCTGCAACGGCATGAACACATACGAAATGGTCCAACTGAAACTCACCACAAGTGCACGTTCTGTCCCTAAGGTTAACAATAAATGACCGAGTCCACCTATCAACAATCTCAAACTCATATGAGCATGATGGCTTAACCTGTATGAGGGGGAAATTAATTAAGCAATCATAATTATTTATGAAACATAATATTATGAAATAATTTCATTATAATTATGTATTTTACAATAATATAAATGAGAAAGCTACCTTCATCTTGAAGGCATCCCGTTGTAGAGATATTAACTCAGATTCCAGATTTTGAGTAAGAATTGTTTTCGTAGATAAAGCTCTCTCATGGCGTTCATGAAACCATTTTTGCATCCTTTCTCTAATGAAATCAACTAACTTCGAAACAGGGTATTCGCGTGCAGAGTTGCTAACATTATTCATTGATTCTGCAGCATTAGATGTCATTATCGAGTATCGAAATGGCCCACTCTTGCAACGTGACCATTTAGATTCGCCGATGTCCCAGAGGTAAGAGCGGATTCTTGAATCTTGTACGTCAAGCATTTGCAGATACTCCTCACGCTCAAACTCAATTGCTGCACGGCAAGCTTGCCTAAACTTCCACGCTAGATCTTCTTTCGGTCCCTTAAACTTGCCCCGTATGTTTCGGGCAATGTGCTCAGTACAGTAACCATGTTCTACATTTGGGAAAACCTTGTCTACAGCGTAAAGAATTCCATCATGACGATCTGATACGATATACATATCATGCCTGAAAGTTAAGGTGTCCTTTAGTTTTGTGAGGAACCACGTCCACGATTCCTTATCCTCAGCATCACAAATTCAAATGCTATGGGAACAAGTTGTTTGTTGGCAACCTGGCAGCACGCTGTTAATAAAGTCCCCTTGTAGTAAGATTTCATGAACGTTCCATCAATAATGAGAACGGGGATACAATGATCCCATGCTTGTCTCCACGCTGCTAAGGAAAAGAACAAGTATTTAAACTTGTGATCATTAGACCTAACCAAGTGTATTGCAGAACCTGGATTTTTCTGCTCCAACATAAAGCACATTGATGGTAATAATTGGTAGGAATCTTCATCTGAGCCATACAATTTGGTCAATGCCTTCTGTTTGACTAGTAAAGCTTTCCTATATGACATGGAAACGCCATATTCCCGTCTCATGTCCTCACGCAAGTCATTAGGAGGGTATGGTTTCTTGGTAGCGTCCACATAACGATGAAGGAGAATATCAGCTACAAATGATGACGTTGCGTGTCTGTGATCGCCTTCTCGAAAATCAACAGGGCAAGTATGGATTGAGTCAAACCTATAAAACAGACAATAAAGGCAACCGGAATGATTAAAAAGGGTTAGGTGCTTGTCCCAAAAGTGATGATAGTATAAAGTTTAGCTTAATCTATTAATTAGAATTCTAATTACCATATAAGAGAACAAAAAACGTGTTTCTTATTTTACATCTTCAGGTGAATAAGCAATAGGATAACTAGTTAATACAAGTGGTAAGAACAAATTTCTAAGCATCATCAGGAAGCTTAGTGATACAAAACGTTCACAAAACCATTGCTTAGAAACCAATGTATCTGCTGATCACACTGCATTGCCTAATTTAAACTATCGTTTCTGGTACACTACCACAGCTTGTGTAATTCAAATACACTGCCAAATTTGGGCAGTTTGTATAGCAGTCAAGGCTATGATGATACTAAAAAGTTTTGCTTAACGTAATATTCAAAACTGTAAATACCATATAAGAGAACAGTGAACGTGTTTCTTATTTCACATCTTCACTTTAAAAATCAATACGATAAGTACTTAATACAAGTGGTAAGAACATATTTCTAAGCAATGGTTTGTAACCATCAACAAGATGCGTACTATTACCAAAAGTTCAGAAAACCATTTCTTAGAAACCAAAGTATATGCTGATCACACTGCACTGCCTAATTTTAGGCATAATGTTTGGTACACTGCCAGAACTTGGGTTTCAAATACACTGCTAAATTTGGGCAGTGTGAGCAGCAAACCTTTTTTCTGTGTAACATTTTTTTTTGTTTTGGGAAAAAAATAATGTAACGAACTTTTACTTGTATAAAAGCGTACCTGCGTATCTGAAAAAGGGGTGAATTATCTATTCGAACAGCACGAAGGGTCCATGAGCAACGATCATCATCACAAACAACGTGTAAGCATGACTTGTTTGACCTCTTTGTCCTATACTGGAAGCTATTAGACATGTACACAGCATACATTTGTAGATGTTTGCATAAATCATCCTTTGACTTGTAGATACCGTCAACCCTAATGGTGGTGGGATGATAATGTGAAATGACATCCATAGAAGATGATGAGCCACCTTGAGGTATAGGGTCTGTTGCATTTTGAGTGTGAACATGACTTCGTGGAGTGCATGAACTCCCATTACCCAGAATTCCACTGCCACTCCTCTGAGGTGTGGAGTATGTATTGCTTTGCAGATTAGCATTGCAAACAGAGTTAACATATGCCTCGTTGTGAAAGTTGTGATCATTGTGGGTAGTGGCGTCATTACTGTGTGGGTGGACTGTGGAATCCAAAACAAACTCAACACATAGTGGCAGGTGTGAGGTGTCATTTTGGAACGACTTCAACTTCAAATAGAATAGTAATTTGGAATCATCGGAAACAACAATAGGTGGGGGGAGGCCGCAACAATATAAGAAAGACGAACAGTATTCTGAGACCAATCAATACGTATGACAGATTTGAGTAAATCTAAGAAGGATTGGAATGAAGTTTTTTCTGGGACCTCAATCACTGTGTTATACTTTGATGTAAAGCTTCCATGAGTATCCCATGTCCCGTCGACATGTAGCAATATCATCAAATTAGATACCATCTGTGATGATCCTATTCAAAAAAAAAATAGATAACATTCTATTAAATTAAGTAAACAAAGGAATGAACTCAAAGAATAGACGTATAACCTAATATACACATTTAGTCAAACACGTAAAGAAGTTGAAAATCATGTCTCCTAACCAATTATACTATGTACCTATACTTCAGAATGCAAACTTTAGTTTATTAAGTGCATACAGCGCACAACACACTTCGAACTACAGTATGTTAATCTTCAATGCCACTATGCGTATATATTTTTTACTAGCACTCTGACACACTTCGAACATATGCCACTATGTTAAACACTCTCTACGAAGAAAAATATGAAATAAATTAAACAAAAAATGCAGGGCAACATTAGGCATTTAATCTTCACACTGCCCACACTATAACACCTTATCTTGACAGTGACAAAATCACACTGCCAAAATACAGGGCAACATTTAGGCATTTAATCTTCACACTGCCCACACCATAACACCTAATCTTGACAGTGCCAAAATCACACTGCCATAATCCAAGGCAACATTTAGGCAGTTAATCTTCACACAGACCACACCATAACACCTAATCTTGACAGTGCCAAAATCACACTGCCATAATCCAAGGCAACATTTAGGCAGTTAATCTTCACACAGACCACACCATAACACCTAATTCGACAGTGCCAAAAATCACACTGCCAAAATCACATTGCCTTTGGAAAGACCTAATTTTTCAAAAAGGACAAATATTAGGTATTTCAAAATTGATTTCACAAAACCTAATCTTTAGTACGAAGAAAACACAATAATTAAACTAAAAATACATGGAAATCCGAATAAAGGGATGAAGGAATGAAAATTACAAATTGAAGGAGAAGAGAAAATGATTAGCCACATCAATGAAGGAATCCGAGATAACTTGATGATTGCCGCTGTTGATCGGAGCAGAAATCGTGGGAGAAGGCCTGAGGATGCATGATCAGTGGCGACTAAACTAGAACTTGCACCACCGATGAAGAGTATGTGCGCGAGAGTAATACTACGTGCGGCTAGGCAGGAGAGTGGCGTAATTTTTCAATAAGAAAAAGGAAAAAGGTTAAAGGGCATGATAGTAAAAGATTGACACAAAAAAGTGCTAAATTTGTTTAAAAAAATAAGTAGTGCTAGATGCGTAGTTTAGGGTGAGTTAAAGTGTTATGTATGGTGATTTCTATGAAGATTATCAAAACAAATATTATGGATTGAACCATTAGGATTAACTCTAAGGCCCCGTTCCGTTCAACTTATTTTTTCTTATTTTTTTTTTCTTATTAAAATCAGATCAGATCAGATCAGACCAGATCAGATCAGATCAGATCGAATCAGATCAGATTAGATCAGATCAGATCAGATCCAGTCAGATCAGATCAGATCCAATCAGATCCGATCAGATTTAATCAGATCAGATCAGATCCAATCAGATCAGATCAGATTCAATCAGATCAGATCAAATCAGATTCAATCAGATCAGATCAGGACTTATTAAAATCAGATCCCATCAAGAATTATTATTATTATTATTATTATTATTATTATTATTATTATTATTATTATTATTATTATTATTATTATTATTATCATCATCATCATCATTATAAAATATATTTTTATTGCTACTTGTAATTTGACTTTCTAAACTTTTGATCTTTTATAAGGATGATATATTTTAATAAAAATACTATCTCTTCTATATATTGATTATCTAAATTTAATTATTTTTTAATGTATATCTTAATTAAATATTTATTCTAATGTATAATTCTAATTTTACAAAAAAATAATCATAAAATAAAAATATTATTACATTATAATATGAATGATTATTCTAATATATGAATTGACTATTTTTATTTTATTAAAAAATAATCATTAAATAAAAAATGTTGATTATATTATAATATGAATTATCATTACAATTTTCAAATGTTATTATAAAGTCAAATTAAATTATTGATTTAAAATTTTAAATTAAATCATAATTAATCAGATCAGATCAGATCCAATCAGATCAAATCAGGTCCAATCAGATCAGATCTAATCAGATCAGATCAGATCTAATCAGATCAGATCAGATCCAATCAGATCAGATCAGATCAGATCAGAAAAAATAAGTTGAACGGAACGGAGCTTAAACCAAAGTATTTTGGTGAATACACATAATTTGAAGCAAATGAAAAAAACCTTTAAATTATAAGCTACTTAGAGCCTGTTCTTTTGGACTTGAACTCTTAACTTCCAGTTTTTTCCAGTTTCTTCCAGTTTCTTCCAGTTTCTTTCAGTTTCTTCCAGTTCTTCCAGTTTCTTCCAGTTTCTTCCAGTTTCTTCCAGTTCCTTCCAGTTTCTTCCAGTTTCTTCCAGTTTTTTCCAGTTTCTTTCAGTTTCTAGTTTTTATTTCTGACAAATCACTCTAAAAAATATATTATTATTATTATTATAGTTTTTTAATTACAACTTTTATGTTCATAAATATAGTTTATAAATTATTTCATTTTGTCATCTCACTATGTTTATGATTCATATTCATTATTTTTTTCTTCAACTTTTTGATATGAATAATACCATTTTTTGTATATTAATCTACAAGAAAAAATAGGAAACTATTTAAAAAATTATGGTTAAATAGTCGCGAGAACTTTTATTTATTTCGATGTTTTCATTGATTATTTGATAAAATAAAATATTCTTCACACTTCTTATTTCGAAGAACTTTTCATGTAGTAAGAGTATAACATAAAAAATGTAAAAAAACAGTTCTATGTTTTTATTCAAAAAGTAGGGTTATAATGGAAATATATTGCCAATCCTTAAAGAAAGAATAGGTTAGATTACATTATGTGACATGTCAGATATTTTAAACAAAATCTTGTAATATATAAAATATAACTACAAATATATTATTTTATAATAAATACATATAGCCATAATAACTCTTAACTATTCAACATTTTGATATTTATGCTAATTTTATATTCTAATTATTTTTTTAAACTATCTTTTTATGTATGAAAATAATATTCGTAATTTTTTTTATATTCTAAAGACAATCATTTAGATAACGTAATAACACCACCACCACCACCAACAACAACAACAACAACAATAATAATAATAATAATAATAATTATTATTATTATTATTATTATTATAGCAATAATAATAATTTATATCAACAAGAATCAGAATGAGAATAATTTAAAACCACACATAAAATTTTTTTAGAGACTTTTTTTAGATTTTACAATTTATTCTAGGTTTTTTAGTTTCTTTTAATTTTTTTCCAGTTTCTTCCAGTTTCTTCCAGTTCCTTCCAGTTTCTTCCAGTTTCTTCCTGTTCCTTCCAGTTTCTTCTTGTTTCTTCCAGTTTCTTCCAATTTCCAGCTCTTTTTTTCCAGTCCTAAAGAACAGGCCCTTAATGAATTTACGCAGCTAATAATAAACATCATATTGAGCAGTGGTTCTCAAGAAAGAATTTTTGAATTAGACAGTTTTGCGGGTAGTTACCATATATTGAAAAAAGAATTACCATATATTTAGACTATGTGAGGGATTACTATCTAATAAGTTATCTTTAGAAAAATATATGTAATATATAAATGAAGTGGACCGCTATTAGATTACATTTGAAGAAAGTAGCTAAGGTTACTTTTAAGAATTTAAAAGTTTTGATAGTTATGATACTTTTAATGAGATTAGTTTTCTAAACGACCTATTAATTAATACAAAAACAAATTATGTATAAGTATCAACTAAACGAGGGTTAGGCTTCCCCCGTATAGGGTAGTGTATGAGTCCTGTGTATTCAATGCCATTGTGAGATTGTGGTTTTGTGGCAGTATGATTGATTGGTGTGGGCTAACGGCAGTGTCTGTTTGGTTCTCGTGATGTAACGGCAGTGTATGATTGGAAGTACAGGGAAATGTGATTGTTTGGCTACTAATATTGGTTGATTTGGGATACACAGCTAGCATTATGACATTGAAGTAGATTATCAGTATTCTTTTTCTGGTTTTCCACCTGTTATTTTGGTTGCGTTTTATTTTTATTTGTGGTTTTAAGGTTTTTAAAGTGGTGCTATGTGTGTGAGGTGTGTTGTGTGTTATTTTTACACTTCCCCTGTATAGGGTAGTGTATGAGGCATGAATGTGTCACTTAGGTATGACTTCCAGTTGTATGGTGTGTTTGTTGTATTACTTCTTATTAATTTTTTTATGTATGTTGGCAATGCATTCCATACGCATAGTCAAACCGAACCTATTTATTGTACCGGTTAGGGAAATAAAACACAATGGAACCAAGAAACAAAATTGTCTACTCATTCATGGTAATTTAAATAATGTGCTATTTATGTTATGGGTAGTGGAAGGAAATTTGGCATTCAAGGCATCCATGCAAAACAAAAAAAAAAAACAGCCATTGTCATGTTGGTATTGGATTTTTGCATGTTTTTATATTGTGTCCCATCTTCAAGCACCTGGTGCACTTTTGTTTTTTCCGACCTTTGCCCAAGTGGAATTCACCAACAGATGGCAACCTCCGTTTCTTTGGCCTCCCAGGTGGGCGTTTGTTGCATGATGGGGGCTTGCAAACAAGGGCTTTGACAGGTGGCGGGATGTACCAGGTAGATTGGTTGCCTATTGGGTGCACAATACCGCTGTAGGTGGCTACCAATGATTCACGTTTGTAGTAAGTTGAGATGAAATTGTAACATGACAGGCCTGGACGAGATCCAATTGCTGCTACGGCGTGGACACATACAAAATGGTCCAATTGAAAATCACCACATATACACGACTTGTCTCTGAGGTTAACAATGTAAGTCCGAGACCACCTGTCAACAACCTCAAACTTGTATGGGGAAGCTGGCTTAACCTGTTGCAATAAGGGTTGTTAACCGTGAAACGTTACATGGAATGAATGAAACTGCTGCAGTTTTTTGATTAAATGCGTGTACTGTTTAGGTGTTTTATGAAGGTATACCTTCATCCTGAATGCCTCACGTTGTAGTGTAATTAGGTCCGACTTGAGCTTCCTTGGTAGAATGGTTGTGGTAGATGAAGTTGTTTCAAACCGTTCATGAAACCATTTCTGCATCCTTTCGCTAATGAAATCGACTAGCTTGCAAATGGGGTATTCGCGTGGCGAGTTGTTGACATTGTTCATTGATTCTGCAGCGTTTGAAGTCATTACGGAGTACCGGTATGGCCCACTTTTACAACGTGCCCATCGCGGCTGACCTATGTTGGATAGGTATGCACGTATTCTATGGTCTTGTTCATCCAGCATTTGAAGATACTCCTCGCACTCTGCCTCAGTGGCTGCACGTGATGCTTTCCTAAACTTCCAGGTCAGGTCTTCTTTAGGACCTTTGAATTTGACACGAAGGTTTCGGGCAATGTGTTCTGTACAAAAACCATGACCTACATTCGGGAATACGTTCTGAACTGCATGAATGATTCCCTCGTGGCGGTCAGACACAATATACATATCATGCCTTGCGGCCAGTGTGGTTTTCAAATGAGTAAGAAACCACAACCAAGAGTCCTTGTCTTCTGCATCACATACACCAAAGGCGATGGGGACAAGCTGTTTATTGGCATCCTGGGAGCAAGCAGTAAGTAGTGTTCCTTTGTAATAGGATTTCATGAATGTCCCGTCAATAACGAGAACTGGGGCACAATGATTCCAAGCTTGTTTCCACGGGGCTAAAGAGAAGAACAAATATTTGAATCTCTGGTCGTCAGATGTAGACAAATGAATAGATGAGCCTAGGTTCTTTGCCTCCATCATATAACATAGAGATGGTAGTAATTGGTAGGAATCTTCGTCCGAGCCATACAACTTGTTCAATGCCCTCTATTTCACGAGTAGTGCTTTCCTATATGACATTGCAATGCCAAACTCCCTTCGCATGTCGTCGCGTATGTCATTGGGGGGTACTGTTTTCGGGTTGCGTCGACATACTGATGGAGGACTAGATCGGCCAAGAATGCTGACGTCGCTTGTCTGTGATCACCTTCCCGGAAATCAACAGGGCACGAATGATATGGATCAAACCTGCCACACAAAAAAATATTACGATATGACCGTTGGGATAGTGATTTTAGAGCGAAGTGTGGTGTCCATTGATAGTGTTATAGGAATGTGAAGTTCTGCATTTTAATAATAGGGATGATTTATAAGTTTGTAAGTCCAGAGTGTGTACACTGATCTGTGTTTTGACTGATAATTTTGGAAATGCAGTGGATGTTATGGCAGTGTAGTTGTCACATTGGGGCTGTGGGGTTTACCCCACTTGCTAATTTGTGCTGTGAATGAGAATAGGTTTCAAAAATGGACTACACGCGTGTGATAACATGAAATGATATGGAAGTGAGTGCACAGTGCGACACAACACATTTCCCATCATGTTTCTAATGAGATTTGGTTTAAGGTGTTGGAGTTAATGCAGAATGGCAGTTTGTTTATAGAGATATGAGTTTGTATGCAATGTGTGAAGTGTTTTATGTGTGATAGTGCACAAATGTGTGAGGACACTGCCGAAAGATGTTGGTTGCAATGGCTGTAAGTGGTTTGCAGAATTGGAATACAAGCATGCGTAAATTGGTTTTCAAATTTAAGTGAATGCATATAGTGGGTCTGTTTATTATGTTAACAACCAAACATCTTTTAAGAAAAATAGTAGTTACCTTCGTATCTGAAATAAGGGAGAGTTTTCTAGACGAACGGCACGAACTGCCCAAGGACACTGGTCGTCAACGCAAACAACGTGCAACAATGTCGTATTTGACCTCTTTGTCTTGTACTAGAAATTATTAGACACCGCATACATTCTGAGATGATGGCACAAGTCTTCCTTGGACTTGTAAATGCTGTCAATTTGAAGAGTGGTTGGGTGATAATGTGAAATAACGTCCACCGAATTTGAGGGGAGTCTCCTCCGTTTAGTTCGGTTGGTTCCCTTGGAATTGTTTGAGGGATCAGAATTGGCATTTGAGAAATCATTTGGCGTGAGTAACAGTGGGTACTGGCATTCGGTTAGTTCGCTTCGTTCGTTCGAGTGATTGCCTTGGGCACTCAGATGAGTAGTTGTGGCAGTAGGCAAAACCTCCATGCATAATGGCAGATATGTCAAGTCGGATTGGTGGGACGTCAACTTCAGATAGAACAAAAGTTCAGTGTCGTCCACAATGACGATAGGTGGGGGACATAAGGCAACCATGTAGGAGAACCGAATGTCATTTTGAGACCAATCCATTGAAATGTCTGCCTTGACAGTGTCCATGAGTGTTTTTAGAGAGGGTTCGCTACGGACATGAATAACAGTGTCGTATTTCGAAGTGAAATTTCCAAGATTGTCCCACGATCCATCAATGCGCAGCAATACCTTAATACTTGAATCCATGAGTGCGAACCCTAGAACAAAAGAGAATTGTATGGTTAGTGAGATTGAAGAAAATTGCTGAGTTAGGTGATTCAGGTTTTGATAATTGGGGTAACATCAACGTGAATAAATACACAGACCCTAATTTATTAAAATTGAAATAAAATTAATTCGAGGGGCATTGTTGGGTCATAAGAATTAGTAGAATTGTAACCAGAAAAATCTGATCTTTTTCATTTAGAAGGAGCACTGCCTAATTAAATTAGCTTAAAGAAAAGCAGGGTTAACAATAGCTAATAAATGGAGAATAATAACAACACAAACCCTACTCACGGATATGATAGATATAAGCAAATTCAGGATGAGCCTGACTTACCGGAGTGGGCTGTGAGGTGTGAAAGCTTCGGCCAGGTCTCTGCGGAACTCAATTGCAAAGGTGCGATACTCCTGGGATTTGGAATGGGGAAGATGATGTCTATCGTGTATGATGTGGTACAGCCGGCGAAGGAGCTGCGTGCGATTCTCTGGTTTTGGGGGAGGAATAGTGAGGACCATGATTGGAGCGCGTTGTAATAGGCGATGGGATGTAACGGCTGGCGATTAACTCCCTCCTGAAATTGCGCATGTGAAGGGGAAATGCGGGAAAGTGGACCCTTTCAACAACCGCAGGTGNAGGTGGAAGATAAAGAACGCAGGGTTAAATTAGGAATATTAGAGAGATGAAACGCGTAGGAGGTGCTAGAAATGTAGAAAATGGGATGGGAGTGCTATATATGTATTTTGTAATACTTAAAGGTGCTATAATGGATGATTTCTTATTTGTAAATTTAATCTTTAATGGACAAATTTAACTCCCTATGTTCTAATTTTTTGAGTTGTACCTTTAATTTTATTTAAAAAAAGCCTTATGTACTGTGAGTAGTGAACAAAAAACCAAGAATATAATTATGGCTATCGAAAAAAGACTATATTCTTAAAAAAAACATAAATGAAAATACTTCTTGCTATAAAAAATCAATTCATTTTTATGAAACACTTTGGCTTAAATAAAAACTCTCTACATCCCAATTTTTGTAAACTTATTCTTCTAGGGAATAATTGAAACTCTCTACAGCCTAGGTTTTCGAGAATCCAAAAAAAATATTTTTTTCAAAATCAAATTAAATGAAAATACTTCTACCTAAATGAAAACATTCCATTCTTATAAAATTATTTTAAAAATTAAATTGTAAAACCAAAAATATTTAGAATTGAGCAGATGGTAAATGAAAATTATTTTGAATCATTTGACAAATAAAGATTCCCCACATCCCAAAATTAATACATAAAAGTATGGATAATTTTGTTCAACCATACTGGAATTTTTGGATTGAAAGATATTGAATTCAAAAATTGATGAACTAAATTATAAAGACCTAAAGAATGTTGTTTGAATTGTTTTATAATTAGCAATAGAATGGTCTACCAAATTCTTGAATTGTACCTAATAAATTGAAAAAAATACCTACATAATTCTTATTATACACACACACACACACACAAAATATATTTTATTAGAATTTAAAAATGAAAAATCTCACATTCTTCAAAGAAAACTCTCAACATTGTAGATAACAATGTCGTTGTTGTTTGCCTGCACGCAAGTAGGAACACAGTTTGGATGGGCAACCCGGAGAGCAGTGAAGCGGTGGTGTGGTGTGAATGGCTCTTGTTTAATTTAAAAATTAAATTACATTATTTTATTTGATTATATGGACTGTTGGACGTTACTTTGATTTTCTTATGTTTCCGCGACGTTTGGATTTATTTAATTATTCTGATGAATTTGGGCTTAGTTAAAACTTTATTGACGAATTTTATAATTGGTTTAATTGTTATTTTAGAAAAGAAACTTTATGCATGCGAATGTCAACTTAGTGACAACCCGGTTCGCTAACCCGTTGGTTTAGGTTACGCGGGTTGGGGTGTTACAATGTTTGTGTGTGTGTGTATGTGTGTGTGTGAATGTGCAAGTCCTAGGTTATAAAATTAGAATCAGAGATTATCCTAAATTCTTGGATGCATTTATTTTTTTTAATGCTCATTAATGATCATATTTATAGGGATACGATAAGCCTAATTATAAATAATGAAATAAAGGTTTTTTCTCTTTTCGTTCAATGTTTAATATTTATATGAGTTTTAAATTAAAATTTATAATCTCTCCATTTCTATTTAACTACCCAGTTTACTTTTTGAACTTAAAGTTTGACCAACAAATACTTCCTAAAATATCTATCTCTGTCCCAGAGTATTTGTCTACTTTCATTTTTACACACCATTCAATACACTTCTTTAATCCATTTTATCTTGTAATTTGTGTATTAAAAAATTATAGAAATTATATATTAATAAACTATATGTTAAGACAAATCAAACAAGATTGCACATGAATATATTTAGGCTTACACATTGAGAGAGTTTGATGAGTCAAAGTGCTTAGATGAACAATTTCAAAAGTCAAAACAGGATGAATACTTCGGGACGGAGAGAGTATTTGCAAAAAAAAATAGAAATTCCATGTATAGAAATAGTAAGTGGACAAAGTGGCGATCCCATATTTATCTTTAACCAATATTTTCTAACATAATCAATTAATTAATTATACCATGACACCACATTAAATTTATTTCTTTTTATTAGTAGTTTTATTTAATACAATCCCATATTTGTCTTTCCCTAATTTTATTATGTAACATAATTTATTTTATCTCAAGATAAAAGATAAATAATCAATTTTATTAATAAAAAAGAAAAATAATCAACACACGTTTTAAAAGAATAAATTCTTTATTTGTCCTAATTTTTTTGTAGATTATGCTCATATTTTACAGATGATCTAAATCTATTCTATTTATATGAGAATAATTTTGAATAGAAAGTTATCAGTTTTTTAAATTACGTTTACTTTTACACTGAGGAGATATTGTAAATTAACTAATTACCTATTTGTGTTTAACTAATTCTTCTTTCTCGAAAATGATGTCAAACTCAACAATAAATTTTTTATTTGAAAATAACGTGAGGAATAGATATAGATTTTATTTGAAAATAACGTGAGGAATAGATTTTGTTTGTTGACATTTACGAAATGACAACATATTACTCCCTCCATATATAGGATTAAACTCTGTTTACCTTGTTTGTCTATTTTTGTTGTCTATTTAATAAAATAATATAGTTAAATAATATTGCTTAAAAGTTATTGGTCCAATTTATAAAAATTTGGCTTTATAAAGTCAAATGAGAACCTTATTTCCATATGAAGTGAGTAATATTTACATCTCACAAAAAGGTTCCATAGAACAGTCAAATTTAGATGTGTAGATCTTAAAATCTAGTTTTAAATATTTAATGTTTTAATTTTTGAATTCCACACCAATATCACACAAAAATATAAAAAATAATTTTAATGAAACAACTCAATGGATGAAAATTTACGAGTGGAGGGAGTATTTATTAAAAACCTCTTTAATTTCTAAGCTCAAATAGATCAAAATTCAAAAGCAAAATTAATTAAAATTTGGCACTTCAATATTTTAGAAACATTTTTTAGAATATATTTTCATTAATAATTTGATAAAATAACACAATCCATTTTTTAGATATCTTGATTTAGTATAATTGAATAACATTCATATATCCAAAACTTGTGTGTAAACAATTTCCACAAAGTTTAAACAATGTCACGTATACCCCCTTGAGTTTGAAGTCTTCTCTTAAGGGTGGTGATAGTTACACTTGACCTAAACACTAACTTTACTCCACACATTAAATCACTTCATTCGTTTCAAATTATTATTTTTAGTAATTTTTCAAAAAAAATTATTTTTAATCCATGAACTCATATAGAGCATTTTGGAAATTTAAGATTTTGATAAGAATTCCAGGTTGAATCATAATACTATAATACTTTAATATAATAATTTTTTATTTTGCTAATTACGGAGTATATTTTAATTATTAAATATGATATCTTTTTAAAATAAAAGTTGATTTTTTAATAATAATTCACATTCATTAATATTTATATAGATGTTTTTTATTGAATATAAATAAAAGAGAATAATGGCGAATAATTTTAAAGATTATACTCCGTATAAAAAAATTTTAAGCAATATTTATAAAACCATATTTTTAAAATAATAAAATAACTATGTAGATTAAAAAAATGGTGAAATGCATTTAGGTATAATACTTAAAAATATAAGATTTTACACAAAACGGATGATGATTCAATGTATTAACAATAAATGTTATTTTAATTAATAAAAAATTAAAAGAAGAGGCGGCAAAGTTTTATAATTAAAAATAAAACTAAAATTTATATATTATTTAATTTGAAAAGTCTTAAAATGAACTAAAAGATTAATAGTTTTAAATATTTATTTATAATATTTTTTTAAACTCTGTATAAAAGAAGACAAATCCCATAGTGATCTTTATATACACACACACACACACACACACACACACATATATATAAACACACACACACACATACATACTCATTTTATAGAAATAATACAAAAAATAATTATATCTATTTCACCTTGTAAAATTAAAGAGATTCAAATAGATATTAAACATATTTATATTATTTTAAGAGCAGAGAAATGGGTGTGACGCCCATGGGTGTCAACCCTGATTTTAACGCCCGGGGGCGTTAAACACCGCTCCCTAGGGTTTCAAACGGGTGTGACTCCATCAGCGTCAAACATTTAACGTGATGCTCCCCTCCCCCAACGGCCAAAAATGACTATTTTAGCTGTTAAACCAAAAAAATCCTAAATTAAAAAAACCTATAAATTCCCCCAAAACAAACCTATCTCTCACACTTTCTCACTATCTTCTCTCTACAATTCTATCAATCTTTCAAATACTTGATTATTTATTATAAATATTTATAAAATATATTTTAAAAATGGGATCATCTTCATCCAATGATGAAAAAAGAGCTCTCATTTTTTGTTTTTTCGCCACGAGTTGTTATCAATGGTGGAAACAAGACGAAAATGAAGAAGTCGAATCATCCCAATGCCGGACCCAAACCCGACGACAATGTTTAAACTGGGATCGAGCTGCTGCCCACGCTTCACTTCTCAATGACTACTTTAATACTCCGTGTGTTTATACACCAGAGGATTTTAGTAATCGTTTTTAGAAGAGTCTTCCTCTCTTTTTACGCATACTCGCCGAAGTTGAATGCGAGGTGCCTTGGTTCACCCAACGCTTTGATGCGAGAGGCCAACGTTCTAGAAGTGCACTGCCGCGCTTTGTCAGATGGCGTATGGGACGACATCTGACATGTTCGATGGATACTTGAAGATGTCGGCTCGGAGCATCAAGTCTTGTGTTTATAAATTTTCTAAAGCTATTATTCAAATTTATGATAAGAGATATTTACGCAAGCCTACAACGAGTGACATTCAGCAGTTACAAGCAAGGCATGCCGCTAAACACGGCTTTGTCGACATGTTTGGGAGCATTTATTGCACGCATTGGGAATGAAAAAAATTATCTCACTGCGTGGCATGGTCAATTCTCTCAGGGGGCCATCCCCAGCCTTTTATCATGCTCAAAGATGTTGCTTTAAATGACCTGTGGTTTTGAAACGCTTTTTTCGGTGTCGTGGGCTCGAACAACGACATTAACGTTCTCGATCAATTGCCTGTTTTTGACGATTAGATTAATGAGACCGCACGCGACTCGTCTTTTGAGCTTAGAGGGACGCTTTACAAGCGTGGATATTATTTGTCCAATGAAATATATCCAGATTATTCCACGATTGTCAAGTCCCTCTCCGAACCAAAGGGTCTTAAATGCTAGACCTACAAAAAAGCTCAGGAGGCGGCGAAAAAAGATATTGAACGAGTGTTCGGGGTCTTGAAGGTTAAGTGGCACATTCTAGATCGTCCGTCAAAATATTTTTCTCAAACAAAAATGAGGAATATCATGTACACATGTATTATTTTTCATAATATGATCGTAGAGGACAATGGGTTTACGATTTGTCAAAACAACCCGGAGAGGAAGTGCCTATGCACGAAGAAATCGATGAAGAAAAGAAACGAAGAAACCGACAAGAAATTTGAAGCCGAGAGATTCACAATGCACTAACGGCGGATTTGATCGAACAAATCTTTAGCCGCTCGAATACTTTTGTAGTGTTGTTTTTTTATTGATATAATATTTTTTTTAATAAATGTAACTTTTTTTATGCAATGTATTTTTTTTATGAATGTAAAATGTCGAAGAGCGTTTTTATGGGGAGAGACAAGCAATCAAATAGAGAACATATATATATATATATATATCTGTGTGCAGGGCCGGCTCAAGCCAGGGGCAAGGTGGCCACCTGGACAGGGCCCAATTTTGGAGGGGGCCCCACTTTTTCTTCTTCTTTTGTATATATTATATATATATTATATATATTTATAAAAAAACAGGTTAAGACTATGAATTATAAATTTATAAGACTATAATTTGACATATTATTATTCTTATTACTATACTATTTTTTATTGTTAAAAAATTTTTATTGATACTTTATTTTATTATGACACAATGGCCAATTTTCTCTGTGACGTCCAGGGTCCCTGATTTCTCGGAGACGGCCATGTCTGTGTGTGTATATATATATACATGTATATATGTATATGTATATATATATATATACATGTATATATGCATATATTATATACTCCCTCCGTCCCAAAAAAAATGTTACATTTCATTTTTTGCGTATCACAAAAAGCACTGCTACTCACATCTAAAAATTCTAAAATTTACCATATTTACTCTTTATTATAAGATGAAATTGTTTTGAAAGTTTTTTTTTGGCATTTGAGACGATATAAAATTGTTTTAAGGGATGCGCAAAAAATGAAACGTAAAAATCTTTTTGGGACGGAGGGAGTATTATATATATACATATATACATATATACATACACACACACATATAGGTATTGACTCCAGTGAGATGACATCTTACAGTGAGATGATAGGTTTCGATGAGATGACGCCAAGCTCACCATATTACACTGCAAAGCACCATTGGCCAATGCAAAGCTCACCACTTTGAACACCAAAATTTACCTTTTTTTGATTTTGAAAATTAAAAAATTAATTAAAAGTAAAACACCAACACCGGGCAACCATAGGTCAGCAGCGGTGTCCGGTGGCGGCAGAGCAGTTGCGGCGGCGGCGGAGCGGCGATGGTCAATAGTCAAAATCTAGTCAGCACCCCCTTTCCTTTGATTTTATTTTTTAAAAAAAAATTCAAAGTGTTGAAAAAATATGGTGAGCTTTGCCTAATAGTTTGGTGAGCTTTGTAATTGTCTTTGGTGAGCTTTTCGTCAGGTGTCATAGAGACAAAAAGGAGGTGGTTATTGAGGAGTATTGGGGTATGGGTGTTGAGGTGATATTGGGGACAATTTGTGCAGTAGTTGTGGAAGGTAATGGCATGGCGTTAAGTGATTTTTGAACCAAAACTCGACCGGAACCCGAATAAGGAAAAAATGAGGACTGAAGACCAGACCGAATAAGGACCGGTCTGGTCCGGTTTCGGCCGGGTTTCGGGTCAGTCCCGGTCTGAACTGAATAATGCACACCCCTATCTCTACTAACCCCTCTATCCTCTGCACCCCTTCCTAGCCCTTGGCCCCCTCTCATTCACTGATTGACTACAGTTGTCAATGTAGCCAATCGACAGAGAGGGAGGGGGGGAGATGTAGAGGGTATAGGGTTTGTGGGGGTAGAACTCATCAATTTTTTGAATGATTTACTGTAGTCTGTAGGTGTCCCGGGTTATGCTATGACATTGAACTTCAATGTCACATGAACTGTGGTAGAGAAGAAATGAGGGCAGTTTATTGAGTTTGTTTTTCTTGTATTATATAGATAAAAGACTTACAAAGCATTAAAGCTTTGAATAAAATCCATAAATAGTTTTTATTACATGTGTTTTTTCATATTTAGTCTCCAAATTTAAGATATTGCATAAATAATTTTCAATTTTTGAAAAACTATTCCATAATCGGTGTTTCAAAGATTATATCTAAAAACAAATATTTTTGTCATAGTTGGCCTAAAGAATGAATAATTTTTAAAAAATCAACAAACATTTATATAATATCTTATAATTAGAGACTACATATAGAAACCATATGTAATTATGTAGGGGTGGGCAAAACAACCGAATTAGCATGGTACCGTATCGGACCGTAATAGTACCGAACTGTTTATAGTGTTTTCAAACGGGATTGATTTTTTTCATCACGAACCGAAACCGAACTGATACCAAATGGGACGGGACCGTGATACAAATATTTAAAATCGATTATCACGGACCGAACCGCCAACGCTACGGAGTACACATCTCAAATAATTATTATAGCATAATTTTAAAAACCGGACAAGATCGGACGGCTCGGACCGGGAACCAGTGAACTGGACACCAAACCAGTTCGGTCCGGGCATGCAAACCGCCTTTGACTATGAACCGGTGGGAACCGGTTAAAACACGAGAAAACGGCCGGTTTACCGCCGGATCCGGTTTTTTCAATTCTTTTATGAAGAATTTTAAAAACGCACGCAAGGGCCTTTGACTATGAACCGGTGGGAACCGGTTAAAACACGAGAAAACGGCCGGTTTACCGCCGGATCCGGTTTTTTCAATTCTTTTATGAAGAATTTTAAAAACGCACGCAAGGGGGTTCGAACATAGGACTACATGGGAGGAAGGAGCTTCACCAAGCCATCTCTGCTACAATGCTTACTGGGAACTTTCTACTATTTCATTTATATATTCTTTATTCAAATTTTTTATCAAATACTTTTTAAGTATATATAGTTTTTTTTTTACTAAAATTCAAAACCCATTGAGGTAATTGATATGGATTGCATATCACACAAATACTATATATATTTTTAAATACTAGATAAAATGTTTAAAAAAATTCAAATCAATTTTTATTTTTAAGATTTTTTAAATAGGTAAATTTTATTTTTTATTTAATGAAACAACTCAAGTAAATTAAGTTAAATTCTAAGTTTAGTAAATCATCAATTATTTATTTATAAATAGAGGAAATATTATTTTATTAATCATATATTAGTATATATATATATATATGTATATATATATGTATATATATATATATAATTTATTTATACTTATATATTTATTTATCTATTTATTAAAAATGTTTGAACCACCGGTTCAACCACTCGAACCACTGGTTCGACCAGTAAACCAGTGAACCAGTGCCTTGACCGGTTCGATCACCGGTTCGGTTCTGAAAACTATGGTGTATAGAGTACTTCGTATTTTATTATTCATTTTTAAACTCTCTCATTATTATTGTTGTTATTATATTTATTATTACTATTAGCATTATTTTTTATAGTTATTAGTATTCCGATAGTATATGAATTGGAAAAAAAATTATTTTTTAACTTTGGATTCGTTTTTATTTCTTTATGTTTATGTTTTGTTTAAATTCGAGATCAATACTTTTATTTAACACTCTTGTACTTTTTATACTCTGGCACATATTTATACATTAAATTCAATATTCTTTACGTAATGTACGTTCATTTTTTTGGCACGGTTTGAACATGAGTATGATATTGTACCGTTCCGTTTCAAAACGGAATGGTACAAAATGGTTTTGGAGTTCATCCCGTACCGATACCGAACCGTTTAAATAATAGCGATCCGTGATAGGTTCCGGTAGTATCACGGACCATCACGGACCGCACCCACCCCTATAATTATGGATCATTTATTAAGAGTATTTATACTATACATTCAGATGTATGATGTTTCATGTACATCCACTTGAAAACTCATTTTTAACTAATTGAATACTTATTTTTGAGTAATGAAATGCTCATTTATGAATATAATTGAATTTTATAAAATGAATATTCAATTATTTTAAAATGATTATTCAATTATTTAAAAATGAATATTAATTACTTAAAATTAGTATCGAGTTGCTCTTAAATGAGCAAATGTATGAAAAATACTATTGTACTACCCGGGATTATATTACATGAATTTTCCAAATATCAAACAACAAAATGCCCTAATTAATTTTGGTGACACACAGCTCTGCATTTGTATATTGGAGTACTGCTCTCTACTTCACAAGCAGCAGCGAATTGTTGAAGATTTATCTCTGAGAATGGAATCGGCTGTGTCGAGGCTAGGAAACATCCAGAGGCACTTAACCTCTTCAATTTCGGTAAAGGTACATCCAATATAACTGGAAAGTTTCATTCCTTTCAATATGTACGCAGATGATGATGATGTTAATGATTATAATAGAGTAATAATAATAATGATGATGATGATATGAATTAATTTTTCCCGGGTATATATTTGCTCAACGAGTTTGCAATCGAGATAGAAATAATAATTTTAAATCAAGGCTTCAATTTTGCCACAAAAAGAGTAAAAAGTTGATATAAGTACAGAAATTCTTCGATGAATCAATGCGCTCTTTATTATTTAATTTTTTCCTGCAGGGTTTTAATGATGCGTTGATTAAAATATCTCCTAAAGTTTCAGAAGCTTTGGCACACGGGCGACCTGTTGTTGCACTCGAATCTACCATTATTACTCATGGTATGGATTTCTTAGTACATTTTGTTGCCGTTGTTGCTAATGTGGATCCTCTTAGTAGTCGGGAGAAGCCATTGCAATGGAAATGGTGCACTTTCGTTGAATAAAATCTTACACTCGTTTTACTCACATAAGAATTAAAAGAGTAAATAAAACAGTTGTGAAGCCTTAACATACTCCACAATTTTGGGATATACAAGATTTATTCAAAGTTGATGCACAAGTATACATTATAACTCAATTTCATCCTCAACCTTTTATTGGACTCTATTTTGCCCTCGATATAAAGTTTGGACCCAATTCAGTCCCCATACTTGTTTTGGTTCAAATAAGAGTATCCACATCAATTCAATCTACACTTATTTTCTCTCTCTTGTTAAGAGTTTCTCCCTCTAAGAAGTCCTTAGCCATGGCGAACAAAAAGAAGAGGGGAGGACCATGGAAACAAGTGATGATGCCATTCCCTAGGCTGCTATTCACTCCTGTGCCATCGGACTGTACAGTAAAATCTAAGAGGGGGAAGTTTGTCTTTGACAAATAAGGAGACCTTAAATATTGTGAAGGATTCAAGTAGGTAGGTTTAAGGACTCATCTTACACTGCTTTTATGGGAGAGATAACAGTGAGAAAAGAGGTTGAAGCAACTGTGGATACAAGTACTGTAAAGATCCTTTGATTCAATGCTAACTATAGACAACGTGATCCCATCATTTGATGCAATTATAGGTGATGGACTTTAATCCACTAGGTCACGACAGTGGGTTGTGTATACATGAGGATTATGAACTAATATGAATTGCAAATAATCAGAGACATAATGCTATACCAACACCTCTATATATTAAGAGTTCAATACTTCAATTTCTTCCCCAGGCTTGGAGAATATGTATTTATAGCATCAAGGAGGCAATTACGATCTACTTTCCTCTCCTAAGAAAATTGGTCGTGGATAACAACATGGGGCGCCTCTCTTGACCTAAACTTAGCGCCTACCTTGCTCGCTGCTCTAACTTGATGGGACCTCACTTTCGTGTCAGGTTAGCACAACCCATATCACACGGGTTACAATCCTCAACTGGGCGTACAAGCTTCGGTGATTTGAGCCTAGATATAATAGTAATAGAGCAGGCCATGTATATTAGACCTAACCCGTTTATACATCTGGGCCGGTCCCAATATACTCATCACAAGGCCCCTAATTTCTTGTGTAACCTTAATCATAAGAGGCAGTACAAGGGATTACAATTTAACTCAGAAGGGAATTTTGAACAGCTGTGCATCTTACCTCGGCAATCCAAATGGGTATGGAGTGCATGGAGCAGTGTGCTCTGCAGGAAGTGCACTCAAATGGGTATAGTTTAACTGTTTAGCTTGGAGTAACAAACAAGATGATGGAGATAAAATATATTCTAAGCTGCAAATCTGGATAGAGCTATTCACAATAATGAATGGATGCTGAAATGGTACCATACTCAGGTAAATTATCACCGAAAAGGGTCATCAGATCATACTCCCATGATTCTACAGTTTTTGGAGCCAGTTAAACCTAGGAAGACTACCTTCTATTTCTATAATATGTGAAATTTACATACAGAGTTTCCTCTGGTTTTAAAGAGCAATTGGCAGGTTCAAGGTACATGGTCCTATATGGGTTTACTTGTGAATAATATCAGAAGTTTGAAAAAGCCCCTACAGTAGCTTCATAACAACTAACCCAGCTTACAACTCTTCAAAACCAGCTTCATCAGGATCCAGAGAATGTTGATTTACAATATCAAGAAAAAAGCTATTCTGCACTTATCAGAACACTCTTTAGGCTTCACTCTTGCTTCTTAAGCTAAACGCTAAACTGGAATGGTGTAACTCTAACGACCAATGTAATAAAGTCTTCTTTGCTTACTTATAAGGAAGAAGACAACACAACATACGAAAATATATGAACATGGGACAGGGGAGTAGAAGATGAGAGATCTGGATAAACCTAAATCGAGTCCAAAAGAAAATTTAGGATCAAATTGAGTAATACTCCCTCCGTCTCCAAATCAATTTGTAACTTTGACTTCACAGAGTTTGAGAAAGGTTTGGAAAAGTAAAAGGTGTTTGATTAAAGGTGAAAACTGAGTGGTCAAATTTATTTGGAAGAGAGAGAAATATAGTTTTCCACACATTTATTTCTTAAAGGAGAAAGTGGAGGTGTAAAGTTGATCTTTAGACATAGAAAATGGAAAGTGTAAAGTTGGTAAAGTTGATTTGGTGACTGAGGGAGTATTTTATAATCGATGGAAAAGAACTTTCAAATTCTTTATTCAAGTATTGGATACCTAATTTATGACATGGCACAGCATAGCACTTCAACACGAAGAGCCTATATATTATTATTAAGATGTCGACGTAATTACTATAAAACTGTGTACGTATGTATGTATGCATAGAACATACTTTTGAGCCAATGGTTCATTTATGTAGTGATTGATTCACATTGGGCTCTGAAAAGCCTAATTTTTATTAGCCCATGTTTGCCGGATAAAATATATACCATTGAGCTGGTGCTTGCAAATGGCACCAAGACAGGCTTTGAGTTAAATGTTTCTATATTTGGGCGCACACACACACACACATATGTGTGTGTGTGTGTATATATATATATATATTTATTTATATATGCTGAAGCTACAATTGGCCTTACGATCTATGTGCTTAGAACTCTTGCTTAAACCGGCACATCCTATGGTTCTTTTCCAAATTGACCATGCCTATGCTCTGCCTTACTCGATCGATTACTCCATGTATTTAGTGATTTTTTGTATATATATTTCAGGCTGCACTTATTATATATTTGTATCTAGGCAACTTGGGCAACTTGTAGATGCTCATAGATTAATCCTTTTGATTTAAATCTCACTTTCAGGAATGCCTTACCCTCAGAATCTGGAAACAGCTAAACAGGTGGAATCAATTGTGAGATTTAATGGTGCTGAACCTGCCACCATTGCTATATTGGATGGTGTACCATGTGTAGGTGTTTATCTCAACTCTTAGTTTCATTTTTCTTTTCGTCATTGTTCCCTGTGTCGGGTTTTCAGGAAGAAGTGGGAAGATGATATGTCATTCATTGATTAATTCCTTTTTTAATTACTCCATAATTATTGAAATTAAATCAAACACCATTTTTTTCTATGGCCAAATTGGTTACCCTTACAACTAAGGAAGCTAGAGCTGTGAATTCATGGTAAGATAATGTCATGACTCATGTGTACAAGATCAAAATTCAAGAAAGTATCGTTTGAATCCTTTTGGACGAGCATTAAGAAAAATAAGAACTTTAAATTTATGTTTTACCGGTAAGATTAGTTTGTGACACACTTCAATTTCATAGTTGAGTAATCTTTTTTGAATAGGTGTGCCATGAAATGTCTGCTCAACTCCGAAAGGAGTGACCTTCCTGCTCTGAGGCTAGTGATGAAAAGTGGTGGCTACAAAGCTGGGAGAACCATGGAAAAAAGTAGTCGATCTTCCGGCAAAGAGCATACTTTCAGAATGCGTGTGCATTTTCGGCGCATCACAATATCATCGAGAAGATGATCCAAGTCGGTCGGGGAATAGTTAACAAGCGCAAAAAAGAACAGGAGATGGATTGGAAAGAAGATACTGCTTGTGACATCCTTACCCGCCTCAGAGCAGAATTACATGGCAAAACCCTTAAATTACTTATTTTTGTGGATAAATTGAGGATTTTTCAAGACAACAAGCTGTTTATCATCAAGAGGTATCTCAAAGTGATTCATTTCAAATTTAAATTTATTACATAGAGAGATTCATCTCAAGGAATGTCAGTCACGAGTTTCTTAACATTAGTGTAGCATTCACCTCACCAAAGCTCTAAAGTTGTAGATACTGATTAAATTTGAGATGAATCTCTCTGAGATACCTCTTGATGATAAACTGCTTGTTGTCTCGAGACTTAAATCCACATAGATAACCATTAGGGGTTTTGCCATGTAATTCTGCTCTCAGGCGAGTAAGGATGTCACATGCAGCATCTTCTTTCCAATCATTCTCCTGTTCTTTTTTGCACTTGTTAACACTTTATCGACCGACTTGGATCATCTTCTCGGTGATATTGTAATGCGTCGACAATGTGCATGCATTCTGAAAGTATGCTCTTTGCCCGAAGATCAGCTGCTTTCGAAGCAGGAAGGCCACTCCTTTCGAAGTTGGGCAGACATTTCTTGGCACACCTATTCAAAAAGATCACTCAATTATGGAATTGAAGTGTCACAAACAGATCTCATCGGTAAAACATAAATTTGAAGTTCTTATTTTTCTTAATGCTCGTGCAAAAAGATCCAATCATAAGCCATGGTCATGTTTTACAAACTTTTCTTCTCAGTCTTACTTTTTTTTCAAATGTGGATAAGTGGTATGTTCTTTTCCATCTATTGGAATAGCTTATGATTGAAGAAAATTCTAGTTCCCCAAAGCTAACTCCAACCTTTCACAAAACCCCATATCTCATGCGCATTTTGGAAATTGCCACTTTAGAATAAATTTTCTAACATTGTTTTTGGAATGTTCTATTATTCCCTCCCCCCTACCCCCGACTTAAACCAAAAGTTTCTTATTCATCTTGATCCCCATGTAACTATTTTCAGGCAAGCTTACATCAAAGGTTATGAAAATCTTTACATGATATGTGTCTGTGTGTTTCTTTCTTTGTTAAAAGGCAACAATGATTTTACTTACAACTGATAGCGGATATTCATAATTGCAAAGAAAATTTATTGCTTCTTGCCATGCCCTATACTCTTATCATCATCCTATATTTGCAAATGCTGCAATCTGCCCTTTGTTTTGCTATCTTACACCCTGACTAACTCCTCTTCTTCCATCTCTACCTCATCTACTACCAAATTGGCACTTACCTCCACTTTCATATCTTATTAATTTATTTGGGATTCAATAGATATGAGGATATATTATTTTTCTCTTAGTGCGGGTAAATATGCTCATAAGTCATAATACAATGGTGGAATGACATTTGATGAGATGGTCACTGACATTACGATCTTCACCAAATGGCTGAAGGACTAAATTTTCATAAGGCTCAACTCACTTCTTGTGGGTTGTGAATCTGACTTTTTTTTTTGAAGAAATCTTTTTTTAAAAATCATCTGGCAATCTATGGGTTTGGTAAAAATAAGTAAGTACTTGTCTACGTCTGGCTAGTTTCTTGCTCTAATTTGAGGTAAAAATTCTAACACTTGTCTCTCTTACTATATCTGTCTATATTTTGTTTCCCACCACTCATGATGGACACGAAATTGAGCGAGATGAGTGGACTTTATTTCAGGTTAAAAGGTTCTTGAAAAGCTTTGGGCACCTTTCGCCATAGAGTGATGTTCTGAGTAAATATTACTCCCTCCGTCCCGTTTTAAATTGCCCGTTTTGACTTTTGGGCATATTTAAGGAAAATAAAAAATAGAGTTAATTTTTTGAAATTGTCAGTACTTTTTAGGAGGGATCATGATGAATGAGAAGATAATGTGGAGAATAGTGACTTATTTTAGAGATAGTTTAGATATTTTACTCTTAAAAATTTACAAAAACAACTAACAGGCAACTTATTTTGGGACGGAGAAAAAAGGAAAACAGGCAATTTAAAATGGGACGGAGGTAGTAAGACTTTATCTCGTGCCAAAGGGCTCTTGATTAACTTACCTTATGCTTGTGGCATAAAATGCCAATTTTTCTCTGCATAAAAGTTGCATCTATCTTTGCAAAAATCTATTCTTTCAAATCCATTTTGTGCACGATGCATCATCAAATACTATAAGTTCAGGCTTTTCTTGGAGAACACATAAACTAGGGACACTGAATTTCATATCTTTTGCCTTATTCAATTTCCTGAAATAAAGAAAGTTGGATTTTGCTGGATAACCAGACTATTAAGTATTTTAAATATAACTTTCTTTATTCTTTACAAGTGAGCAAGGATTCGAGGGGCGTACAAAAATGTTGTTTGGATATATAAAGAAGTGAAGAACTAAGACTTCATTTCTATGTACCCATATTTATTTTTTCAAAACTTGGACCCGAACACTAGGCATACCTTGTTTAGGCTTGGATTACAATCTAAGGAATGGGCTAAGCCGCAAGGGTTCTATGCCAGAAGCCCTAGGGTCAGCCGTGGCCTAGCTTGGCTCCTTAGCCAATCGTCCTCTTGGAGTGCTGATCTCATCATTCAATATTTATGCTCAGTGTCTAGGCTGGCTGACCTCCTTTATTGTGCTTTTTTGTAATCTGTTCCTAGCGCCCAGCTCACTTCATAGGCAAATTATCTCTTCCCCGTTGGGACACCCATGTTGGGTTTCGCTCCAGCCTGTAGTTGTGGCCCGCATGGCGGTCGTCTCACACTTGTAATCTTCTATTTTTACGCATCTGCTTTGAAAGAAGAGGGGTACACCGTACACTCTTATCTCTCTCATTCCAGCAATCTTACTCAATTGAAGTCTCTCTTTACCCTCGGGTCCCCTAGATAAATCATTAAGGAAGCTTAATCTTTAGTAGTACCACTTCATTCTCCTGCTCTTAATTTTGATGCCTTTGTATGGAGGTACAAGAGGATGAATATAGGGAATTTAAGGAGGGATAGAGGCGGACAGAAGAAGAATTGGGGCGTGGTGCTTTGACAGGACTTGCAGGTTCTGCAGTCTTGGAGAACGTGACCCTAGATAGGGTTCTCTTTATGCATAGGGCCTTTAGGTTTAGTTAAGTTTAGTAGGTTGTTTGATTGGTGTCCCTTCTTTTCATATTGTTTTACCTTTACCTGTGGAACTGTATTAACACGTGTCTTTTGTGCTTAAGTCGACAGTCTTTCTGGAACAACCTCTATACCTTTTTCTAGGTAGGGGTAAGGTCAGCAAACACCCACCCCCTAAACCCCACTTGTGGAATTTTAATGGGTTGTTGCCTGTTAATATATTATTTAATCTAGGTTTTGGGAAAATTCACTTATTTGTAAAAGGTTTAAAGCATTCTCCTCTAATAGGTTTGAGCAAGGAAGAACTCGAGAGGCTTGCTATCCTAGGAAGCAAAGTTCGGAAGACAGCTCGCAGAGACATTGCTCATGTTGTAAGTGATTCTGAAGCGTTTTCATACACCAGCACATGCACACACTAAAAACTTTGTTATTTATTGAATCATGTTTTAGAATCAGGTTTACGACAACATTGTCCCAGTGTTTCAAAGGCACCCGCCCATTGTGGGGCGGGGTGGGGAGGGGGCGGGGGTCGGATGTACGCAACCTGATCCCTCTGTTTAAAACATAGAGCGGCTGTTTCTAGATGACCCATGATGAAGGTCGAAAGTTGCATTGGCTAACTGCTACTTCTCTATTAAAAGAAGCGCATACACTTTGAAGAACTATTTTGCTTTATTCCATCTGATTTGTGGTTTGGTATATAAAATCTGTTTTTAAAACATTCTTTATATTTTAATTAATGAAAGTATGAAACAGTACTTTCTACATATTCTTGCCAGTTATGATCTTTAATTCATAACTTGCTAAACTACATCTTCTAATTTTTATCCTAAGAAAGTTACGCATTTCATTCTTTGTTTTAGTCTTGAGATAATACTCCATCTATTCCTATTTATCTATCTAGGTTGACCTAATCACAAATTTAAGAAAATGTTTTTGAATGATAAAGAAATAAAAAATTGTATTGGTTTAATGTGACAGTAGTTATGCCATAGTCCAAACCAATGCACTTCTTCACTTCTTGTACATATCTACAAGTCATTTCCAACTGCATGCCTTATCACTCCAGCTAGTGCACATACTTCATAATGCATTAATGCCATTCTTAAGAGACATCAACGAATCTTAGATAGAGAGCTTCAGCAGTGGTAGAAACAAACTACACTGTGGTTTCTTTTTATCTCCCTTTCCTCTTACTAAAGCTTGCCTTCTTCAGTTTCATCTTCACACTTTTAGAATCATTCTCATCCTCCAATTCTGCTTATGTTCAAAGTGAGATAGTTCTTTAGTTTTGCTACATGGATCAGTTTTTGTTTGCTCCTTCGTCTTCTCTAATGTAAGGCCTTGATTTTTTCTTTATCATCATCAGTTGTGTCTAATGGAGCCAACGGTTCACTATTTTTTGGCTTTGGGGTATGATGGAATAAAGGAAAATGACTCTTTAAACTGTCTGCACTGCTTTCAATAGTGAAGTAGCAGTTAGTCAATGCAACTTTTGATGCTCATGGGTCATTTGGAAACAACCGCTCTACGTTTTAAACTTAGGAGTCAGGCTGCGTACATACGACCCCCTTACCCCACAATGGGCGGGAGCTTTTGAGGCGCTGGGGTAATGTTGTTGTAGTAGTTGTGTCTGGATGACGTGATTCTCTTAACTGTCTAATCATCATTTTTATTTTGTATGCTGGTGTTGCATAAGTGATATGCATCATGATGTCTATTCATGGTCAAACTAGTATAAACGTTAGTTCTCTTCTGGGTTTTATTTTGGTGTTTTTAGCTTTTTATTTGTGTTTCCATGTTTCATTTTCCTTTTAAAAATCAAAGAATAAGCTTCTTCATCTAACTCTTAACATAAAGTATTGTGAATCATCAAATATAATAAAAGTAGAAACTTTTACAAGCTTATACAATTTCATGAGTTTCCTCATTCATGGCTCCTCAATTAGTGGGATTTCATAACCAATTTTTCGTGCTTGTCTACCTATAACATTCTCCAACTATCCGGTATGTTGTCATGATGATCGAATAGGTTTCTTTTGTTTCCTCCAAGAAACTGTCATGTGAATAAGGAAGCCCATGAGTGACCATTATATATAGTGCATGTAGATTGTTTGCTTACCTTCAGATCATCAGCCCAATTCATGTTTTCCATAACTAACTCTAACATATTGTGACATAAAGGCCTTTAGTTCCTTGTAAGCATCAGATCTGGAATTGTGTTCCACAAATTTATGCTATGTTGGGAGGACTTGTTCTCCTCATTTTCCGTAGCAGAACCATCTCAAACAAGTACTTCATCTGTTCTTAAATAAATGCATCATTGTGCTTTTTACACTATTAACACTCGCATTTGATCATTTTTGTAACTCGTACGTAAGAAAAGATAGTCATGTGTTCTTAAATAAATGCATCATTGTGCTTTTTACACTATTAACACTCGCATTTGATCATTTTTGTAACTCGTACGTAAGAAAAGATAGTCATGTGAGCTCTTGTTTGATTTGTCTTGATATAATCTTTCATAATATCAACTGTTTTTAATCTTTACCATACTTCATTAAAAATACTGATGGTTTAATGTGTGCATTGGCAACTGTGCCAAGCTGAATGTTGCATTTACTCCATACTCCCTCCGTCCAAAAAAGATCTTCCCGGTTTGACCGGGCACGCATATTAAGAAAAGTTAAAATTTGCTTTGACTTCCCCAAAATATCCTTACACCTGCTCTCTTCCTCAATCCTCACTTCCTTCTTTGAACAATCATACATCTTCTTCAACCATTATTACCACAAAAATTAAGTTTCTCACACATAAAATTAAATTGAGGAATTGGGGAAATCTGGGAAATTTGTAGTTAGAACTATGAACAAATATGGGAAGCTTTGGGAAAAGAAAAATTAAATGGGCGGAGGTGATGGAGATTATAGTACATTAGATCTGTCCGGATCCGGCCGCCACACACCTCCGACCACTGCCTCGGTTTTCCGGTGCTCCAAATCTTGGGTGACAAGACAAAATAAGAAGGGGAGGAAAAAGAAAAGAAAGAAGAAGAAGAAGAAAAGAGAAAAGGAAGAAGAAGAAGAAAAGAGAAAAGAAAGAAGATGAAGAAGAACGGAGAAGTAGAAAACAAAGAAGATGAAGAAGAAAAGGGAAAAGAGAAGTGAAGAAAAGAGGAAAAGAACGGAGAAGAAAAAAAGGTGTGGTTGGGTGAAGAAAAAAAAGATAAGGGAGAGAGAGAGAACAAAGAAAAAAAGATAAGGGGAGAGAGTGAATGGAGGGTAATTAAGTCTTTTTATTATTAAAAACTTTCCAAAAAAGGAAAGGGGAAGTTTATTTGTGGACGGACGAAAAAGGAAAGTGGGAAGTTTTTTTATGGACGGAGGGAGTATTTAAGAACAAAGAAAGTACTACATATCGAATTTGTTGTATAAGTTGGGCAATTTTTTTTCTTTTCAAATTTGCACGTGTACTTTCTTCCCAGCAAATATCAACTAATTTAATGTTTTACAGGGCACATGCAAATTTGAAGAAGTTTTCAAACTTGCATGGAAAATTTGGTACTTGCTTCATCTCTATTAATGACATGGTCCAGCTACAACAAATGTTTTTTAGGCAACTCCATAAGTCTTACACAATTTCAGACCTTTCAATTACAAGGAACTGAGCTGGTTTGTGTCATATTATGCTATAGAGATAATTTTCAAAATTTGTTGACAGATGATATGAAGGTAAGGAAACTAGGCACATGCATTATAAAAGTCACTTGTGTCCTATAATCTTCACATGGCGTAATTTATTCTCTAGTGTAACATAGTAGTATAGCAGCTGAATGGAAGAAGTTAGATGTAGGCAATAAAGAACGAAATGAAGGCAAAGTCCCACTATTTGAGGAACCATAAATAAGGGCATTCATTGAACTATACTAAATGGTAAAAGTTTTTATTTTATTTTTATAATTACTGATTTCTCATAATGTTATACGTTAACACTCAGAAAAAAGTCTATGTCTAATTATTTAGAGGAAAAGAAACTCCTGAACAAACAAAAAACTAAAATAAAGGCCCATATTTTTTTGGTCACGCTACTTTTATCACAGACTAGGCATGATGTGTTTCTTTTAGAGCATCAAAACAAAAAGTAATGAGTAAACTATTGAAAGAATTATGTCACTCAAACCTAATTCATGCTATTAAACCAAAACCCTACAAGCCAAAGTTGACCCAAAACAAGAGAACAATGCGAGTTAACATACACAGCAAATTGAGGAGAAAAATTGAAATGAATAAATTGTGAAGATGAAATTGAAGAACATGATATTTAGTATAAGGAGCAGAGATAAAGATAAATCACCGATTAGTTAGTTTCCACCACTGCTCCACTCCTATATCTTAGAAGTTGATGTCCTTGAGGATGGGTGCTAAGGATTCTATGCAACAACGAGAGTGGCATGCATGAGGTTCAGAAAAACATTTAAGTTAGGAATGAATTGCTGAGTGATGGTCTGATCCCGATCCATACGCGAAGTAACACGTGTTTTAATTGGGATCCTTCTTTGATGAGGTACATCGTTGCATGAAAAGCTTTGATCATGGTTGAACAAGTGTTGAAATAATTATTATATTTAATGAGTTACATATTTTATTTAAATAATTTAGACTATTCTTTTTAAAAAATTTATCTCTTTTTTTATTTTTCTCTATGTCAGTATATTATTGTCTCAAATCATAGCAATATTTGTGTGACTCACACTCACTCTTACTTTTTTTCTTTTTAAAATCAATATCAATCATATAATTTTTCATTTTTTAATTTGCATGTCACTATTCCATTAACAAAAATAAGTGGGCAAATGAAGCAATACTTTTTCTAAATCTTAATTGAAAGAAAAAATGGACATAAATAATCTAACAATGTCTCGACCAAACAAAAGTAATTCTACATCGCATTTTGTAAATCAAAATAATAACAAAAATGATCCGGTACTATCGATATTAATTTTTCATTATAAATGATTGAGTTCACATGATTTATATTTTTTCTCTATTTATGCAAAAAAGACTTCGATAAGACAAAAACACTAGATTTTTTCCAGAAAAAATAATTAAATCACTATGTTATTAAAAAAATCTCCCAAATAAAGGTGAAAGACAACCATTATGAGTTACAAAATAGTTTATGCTCATTAATGAGTTACATAATTCTTAAAAACAAGATAGAGTGGACAATTAAAAACATTGTAATTGGCTCCTAAGCTTGTACTACCTCTGTTTTAAAACATGTTCTTTCTTTTTTTTTCATTACAAAATTATAAAAATCTTCACTCTTTCTTTTATTGTTCGTTCCAAATAGGTAGTTCATCTGTCTCATATCTTTTTTTCTTGATTTACTTTTAATGGTCTCCGATAAAACATTTTGAACATTAAAATCTCTATTTATGTATTAACATATATAATTTAACTTACATTTATTTTGAGGACAAATGAATTTTTTTAATAAATTGTGACAGTACATCGATCTTTTCTACTCTACCAAGATAAATAACAACAACAACAACAACAAATACAGTAAGAGTAATACACAAAATATACCTAAATAAATTTTTTTAGTCATTGTTGGAAGAAAGTGGAAGGAGTTGGAAAAAAAATAGAAAGACTTGGAAGAAACTGGAAGGAGTTAGAAAAAAATTGGAAGGACTAGGAAGAAACTGGAAGGAGTTGGAAAAATTAGGAGTGAGAAGAAATTGGAAAGTGTTGGAAGTTAAGAGTTAAAACCCAAAAGAACAGAGCTTGAATGTTGTGATTAACCTCAACAAAAATTGACCACGTGTTCATTTTGTCATATTTATCCTCAAGATATAATTTCATCTTAATGCTATAGTTTCCCTGCTAATAGGAAAAGAAATGCATATGGTTTAAAGGTTAATTTCAACTTGTGATATTTACTGCTTATACAACAGCAGAAGTACAAGTTATACAACCTAGCCTTGATCTCAAGTCAGTGTGAGCCTTCTAGTCTCTAAAGTTAGTAATTTTGCACCTTCCACATGCCTTAAAAAGCCTTTCCACAGACCCAATTTTAAAATAAATGTAGCCTAAAAAACCTTGCTGACATTGGTTTTAAGTCTTTACTGTCATAGAGGTACAAAAATATGTCTCTTGGTGTGGTACTTGAAGAATCATTCGACAAGTAGTAGAAACAGCCTCCGTAGTCTTTTAAACATGGGTTAGTTGTAATGTGTGGATTTTAAAAGGGTTATGGATTTATGAGGTTTCTACTTTCTACCTGTGTATTAAAACTTGGACTGGATCAGCCTTTTGGACCGAGAATATGGGTAAAGCTGGTCCAGGTCTTATGTTGAATTAGCCATGCACTCCTACCTTGTGGATTCTAGGGTCTAACTGAAAAACCCAAGCCTATATTGACCAAGTTCATTTTTAAGGAAAATTAGCAACAAGTCGTGTCTTCACTCTTCAGCCCACTAAGTTGTGAAGATAAAAGTCATATATCTCCAATGTACGACTTTTCTAATTTTGATGAGGTACATCTAGTAGAAATCTCCAAACACACACAGATATATATATATATATATATATATATATATATATATATATATATATATAGTTTAACAAAATTTTACATGTTTGGCATGTTTGGCATACTCTTTTTTAGCTGGAAACATTTGATATGATGAACATTATCTTTCATTCAAATTTTACTCTTTTTATGGAACAAAAATATGTTGAGACCTGAGAAAGAGGACTCTTATTAAGGACTGAGGGAGTAGCTTTTATCTATCACACAACAAGAGTTCAGTGATTTATTGATAATTATAATTGCTTCTATCATTCAAAGATGTTCAGAATTTTATACACATATACAATATTCATTGTAGAATATATAAATGTGTATCTGTGTGTGGGCATGGGCATTTGTGATCCACCTAATCGGCTAAAATTGATTTCATTTCCAAAATATTCCATTCTTTAACTTTTCTTCTGTAATGAACTTTTATTGAAGTAAATGAAATTAGTGTCATAATAATGATGCTTGCAATGCATATTTCTTTCATTAGTTTTTTTACACCAGTGATCACTACATCGTAATCCTTTCTTGTGGTCATGCTTTTCTAGGTGGCTACCCGAGGAAACGGAGCAACTACTGTCTCTGCTACAATGTTTTTTGCTTCTAGGGTGATTTGCAACTCTTTACTGCCTATTTCAATTGCCATTTACGGAGTATGTTTTATATTTCCATGTTGCAGGATGATCCTCACTAATTTTCAAATGGAATTTCTTTGTAGGTTGGCATTCCAATATTTGTAACGGGGGGTGTTGGAGGTGTGCATAGGCATGGAGAGAATAGTAAGTTTCACTGCAAATATGTGTGAGAATGGTAGAAGTTATTTTTTGCACTATTACATATAACATTGACCTGATGTGACAAGTGTGGAATCATATAAAATTGATTGAAACAGAGTATGGAATTGTTGCCATATTGTCCCTTTTATATAGACTTCCTGGAAGAGTGGAAGCAAACCAGTAGACATGCCTTGACAGTTAAGATCCACCCATAGATCTGTGTGAAACCTTCCCTTAGTAAAGTATTCAATTCATCCTTGCAGACACACGACTAGACACTATATGTGTGGTTATAAAATTTGGAGGTTCATGTGTACTGTTTCAGTTAGACCCTTGAAGGCCTTGATGCATTTACTGTCCAGAACTTCAAAGGAAGTAAGAAGCAATGGAAGTTTAAACCCTCATAATTCTGACTCTTGTCTTCATAATTTTTTATTTTATGGACTAGCATGATATCATCTATAAACTACATATCTCATGGTACCACATTTTGAATAGACTTAGTCAGTGCAGAAATATAACATTGCGAACAGTAATGAGCGCAAAGCTGATCCTTGATGTAATCCAAAGGTGATGGGAAGGAAAATCTGTCCTTTTCCACAAGTTATTACTTTCATTTCAGGATGTGTTTGGTTCGAAGAAGGGGAATATAGGGGGAGGGATATGAAGAAGAACATTTAGCTCCCCTCCCCTCTGAATTTTTGTACCAAACAAGTGTGTGTGTGTGTGTGTGTGTGGAGTGGGTAGGGTTGGAGGGGGGGTGGGGGGTGGGGGGGGATCCCCTCTTCTGCCCCTTGGAACAGAATAAAACCTTAGTGGCTATTAGCCTATTACATTATCTTTGATTGTACCAATGTATTATCATGATGCACGAATGCACCCTTCCTTGGTATGCCAAACAAAGTATTAATTTGATTAGGAAATAAGATAGACCAGATGATAAAAAAATCCACACAATAGAAAATAGATTGGTGAATATATACTGCCAGAGTTTATTGCTGGGGTTTGGTTTAGTTTATAGTTGTTAGTCTATTCTTTTTTACTGAAATTACTGAACTGAATTGAACTAACTAAAAATCAGTTGAAAAGAACTGAGCCAACAGACTCTATGTACTAGGCTCTTTTACTTGGGAGGTACCCCCAACTTTGAGTATAGTAAAGGTACCCCAATTTTGAAAAATGTAACAACGGGGTACCCCTTGCCGGAATTTTGAGAATCCGGACGGTGAGTGCACATGTGGCGTTCCACTTGGCTTCCTAGTGTACATGTGGCATTCCATATAGCTTCCAGATTAACTTGTAATCTATCCAATACTTGATTAGCTTTGTACTTGACACATATAAAGTCAATTTTTTTTAAATTTCTATTTTATTTATATTTTTTTCTTCTAATGAAAGTATATTTTAATTTTATTTTTACCGTGTGCTTTCTATAAGATTTTTATTTTAATTTTAGCATTTTAAAAAATTTATAATTTACAATATACTTTGCTCTTTAAACATAAGTAGCAATAACATTTTAATAGTTGTCTATAATGTAATTTTAAAGATTTATTTGGAATTTTTTAAATTTTAAAAAAATACATATTTTTATTTCATCATCATCATTATTATTATCGAATATTATTGATATGTGTAATGAGTTTCTATAAGTCATCTAAGTATGTTTTTAAAAGGGGACGTTCATGCAACATCGGGTTTATTTATCTATTTAAATTCTAACTCCAAAAGATTGTTAATATTTTAAAATTTAAATAAATACGAAACTCTGCCCGTTAAATTACAATATAGACAATTATTCAGAAAGTAATTGCTAGTTTGGTTTAAAATATTTTGTAAGTTAGAAAAAATTTAAAAATACTAAAGTTAAAAAAAAAACTTTTAGAAAGCATAGGGTTACAAATAAAAAAAGAATTTGAAATCTACCATCATAAAAAGAAAAAAAATTGACCTTGTATATTTAAAATATAATTCTAAAAAAAATTAAAACTTGATTTTATATGTGTCAAGTGCAAAGTTGATTGCGTATAGGATAAGTTACAAGATAATTTGGAAGCCATATGAAATGCCACATGACAATACGAAGCCAAGTGGAAGGCCACATGTGCACTCACTGGCCAGATTCTCAAAATTCCGATAAGGGGTACCCCTTTGTTACATTTTTTAAAGATGGGGTACCTTTTTGTTACAAGTAGAAGCTGTGGTACCTTTTTGTTACAAGAATCCAAGTTGGGGTACCTCCCAAAAAAGCCCTATGTACTAATATGAACATCACAATTGAGTAAATGGGAAGGCGAAAGAGAACTGGCATGCATTGTAGGACAATTTTGTTCTGTGGACTGTGTTCTTTACATCATCGGTGACCACACCAGGACAGTAAATATGAAGTACTTTTTAGTTTGATTTCATGTCACAATTTTGTCGTCTTGACTCGTAATGATGGTCAAATATCTTTCGCGATGCATGAGAGATGCCAAAGTGTTGCCATGATTTACTCTAAACTAAAAACTATTACAGTGGTGGTGTGGTCCCCACACCATGTTTTGTTTCTTATAAAAAAGAAACCAAAACCTCTAATAAAAAGAAAATAAAGCAAGGAAAAAGAATCCAAAGGTTCTATTCTAACAGTTAATGGCTTAAAGCTCTATTATTATTGTTGTTGTTTTTGTTGTTGTTATTATTATTATTATTATTATAATTAGAGCTCTATAATAACTTGCACCTTATTTGATTTTTTCATCCCACACCTTCAATCCCGTATGATATATTGGAGTTTGTTGGACAGTCAAAAAGCATGGCTAGTACAATGTATAATAACTTCGTTATGTATTTGGTATCCTATTTTTTTCCTTTATGACATTCGTGTTATACAGCAATGGATGTATCTTCTGATCTTACTGAACTTGGACGGACTCCTGTAGCAGTAATCTCAGCAGGTGTCAAATCAATATTAGATATCCCAAGAACTCTTGAGTATCTGGTTAGTATGTTTGTACACAATGAGTTACTTAAGACTATATTGTTTTGGGTTCATCTTTTACTTCTTTACACTTTAGGAAACTCAAGGGGTATGTGTTGCAGCTTATCAGACTGATGAATTTCCTGCTTTCTTTACACAAGCCAGTGGCTGCAAGGTTCATAATTTTCATTTCATTTATTTACCCCGTACAAAAATACTTTCTACAATTCAGTTTCATAAAGTGTAGTAAATAAATGTTGAGCTTTTTATTGGTAATTGAACATTGGAACACACAATGAAAAATATTCTTACTGTAGTGACATACTTGATAGGCACCTTGTCGGGTAGATACAGTAGAAGAGTGTGCTCGGCTTATTGGCAAGCAACTTTTAACTCATTTGATTTCTCCTCTTTACTCAAGTGAAATGTGTATGAATGGTTACACACTTTTTGTTTTAATTATTCAATTTAACTGCTTGCAGATGCAAGCTCTAAACTTGGGCTTGAAAGTGGGATCTTAATAGCAGTGCCTATACCAAAAGAACATTCTTCTTCAGGAAGTTTAATTGAATCTGCAATTCAAAGAGCCCTTTTAGAAGCTCAGTAAGTATCAAAACCAGTTTCTTTTTATCGAAGTCATTCTTTCGCTGTACTAATATACTGTACTTGTATATGTTCACATATTGTGTCTTGAATCTGTTATCGAAGGGACAAGAACATAACAGGAAATGCTCAAACCCCATTCTTGCTTGCTAGAGTAAATGAACTAACTGGTGGAGCTTCTCTAGCTTCCAGTATCCTTTACATGTTTGATTTCTGTAGCTTTTTCTTTTCCTTCCTAACAGTCATTAGAGAAGTGATAGTGGCATAGTGTAGTTAACACTTTGTTTGGTTCAGGGAATTACGGAAGAAAGGGAAATGCTTAGGAAAGGAAAAGAAAGTCAAAGAAACCAAACATCGTAATCGCTTTTGGTTAGACTGCACGGTGTGGAGGAGAAGGGATGGGGCGGGCTGGCTGATGTGCCACCCACATCGGATCGGGATCAGAGGGGAACACCGCCTCCTCCCCCGTGATCGGGATGGGCGGCATCCCTGCCCTTGCCATCCCGTGGAGTTTTTGCTTTTCTCCCTTTGCTTCTCGCCGTTGTCTTATTTCTTTCTTTCTTTCTTTCTTTCTTCCCCTTTAGTTTTTTTCTTTTTAATTTTAGTTTTTTTAATTTTTCTTTTTATTTTTAAGTTTATCTTGGTTAATTAAATGTTAAAAATTTTTAAGAAATAATAAAATCAATGAATTGTTAATTTAATTATGTACTTTAATTTTTTATTATTTAATTTTAAATTTAATTCCTATGATGAATTTTTTAAAAATAAATATAATTTTTTTATGTGTACTTTTAAATTTAATATTAAAGGAATATTAATTTTATATTTTAATTTTAGTAATTTTAGTTAAAATAGATGTATAAAAAAGAATATAAAAAATGTAAAAGGGGATGGGAGAGATTCACACCCTTGGGGATGAAAAGGAAGAGAAAGAGAAAAATTGACGTGATGCTGAGTTGACAAGAATGGATAGAAGCCTCCACATCCCCATGGTCTTAGTAGGGAAATTGGAAAGGAAATTAATTTTTAATACTCCCTCCGTCCATTATCGGCTGTCCATTACCTTTCTTCCAATTTCCTAAAATGGCAACTATAATAAATGAAATGACCTTTTTACCCTTCTTTAACAATGTCATTTACTACCTTAATTTATTCTCTCTAATTCGTTTTTCTTCCTCAGCCCCTTCGATGTTCTTCTTCAGCCTCCACAACCCTACCAATTGATTTTTACTCTCTGTCCTTCGTCACCCCCCTCCTAATTTCTTCTTGTTGTTGTTCTCCGTGATCAACCCACCCCACTCAACTATGAAGATTGATTTTTGTAAGAGACGATGATGATTTGGGACAACCACATTGGAGCTCTGCTAGTGGATGCCAGAGGGAGGCAACCTTTGCGGCTTTATCCTGGTGGCCTGGAACATAGTGGTGATGACTGATGAGTTTCTCCTCTAATGTTGATGGCGGCGGGGTTGCTGATGTTTGCGGTGACGGTGTACTGGAGGAAGGCGTTGGGCCCAATTCACATGCCAAAGGAGTAGGGTAGGAGAAAGGTGGGAGGGAAAGTTTTGAAAACCAACAGCTTTTTTATCTTACATAAAAATTATGCCAAGTCAAACTGAGAAGTTCCAACTTGGACGGAGGGGGTAACTTTTGTGTTTTGTTGTAGATAAGAAAAAAGACATGGTTCTAAACAAGGAGAGGGCAGGGGTGAGGCATGGTTGTGGGTAGGGGGGGAGGCGAGGGAGAGTGTGGGGACGATGGAAGAGGGAGGGCTGGGACAGGGGTGGGTGGAGGGTGGGGATGAGGGAGGGGGAAGGGAAGAGAAGAGTTTGCTGTTTTCTCTTGGCTTCCTCACAAAATGGAAGGAAAATCATATTTTCAATTTTACTTTACTTTTCCCTTACCTTTTCTTTTCCTTTCTAACTAAATACCAAAATTGCTTTTTCTTTTCTTTTCTTTTTCCTTCTGAGTTCCTTGAATCAAACATAGTGTAAAAGTTTCTTAGTAGTGTGTACTAGTCATGTTCTTTATCAACTATACATGCTTCAATTCAATCTATTATATTTTCTTATCAAGCTTCAGATGTTGCACTTGTTAAAAACAATGCATCTATTGGTGCTCAAGTTGCTGTCATCTTAGCTCAGCTCCGCCACCACCGTGGATAAAATGTAAGCCATGCTCCATTTCTACTCATTGTGTTTCCATATTTCTTTGTTTTCTGAGAAACTACAGTTTGATCCTCACTATTTAGCTTCATTATTTATTGGTTTTGGCCTCCACCTACCTTATTTTGTCGATACATAGAATAAATAAAAATTTTAAATTTATGACGATTAGTTAAAATTCATACATAACATTGAGATAAATCTGCATTCTTTGCAACTGTATAGTGCATTACATAAGAATCAACCCTGCCTTAACTGATCTATGGCAATGGTGGGAAGCGTAGGATATGTTGCTCACACTTGTTGCACAAAAAAATATCTGGAATTGATTGGTTATTTGGGATGTGTACACAACGAGTGTGCTGCCAGACCTCACATATATCACAACAAACCATCCTCTCACCATCATCCTCATCCCTGGTCCCACAAGGACAATCCACAACAATGCTATTCTTGTGTATCCCTTCTAACATCCCACCATAATCCACATTTCCCCCGCCGATAAATCCCTCAAACACCAATTTGCTCCCACCTTTGATAGCCTCAAATACTAAATCGGAACCATTAGGGTAGAAGTTCAAATTTGCCACAAAATTGTTAGTCTTCAATCCCCAATACATTTCTCTGAAGTTCCTCTCCACTTCTAGCCTCAGATCGTCGAAGGTTGTGGTGTTTTGTAAAATCATACATTCATATGGCGTCACAACCCTTTCTTGATCCAAACCTAACGACACGTTTGTTGCGCATGCCATCCTTATTGCACAGTACACAATTGAACTCTCTGACATTTTCATGAGCTTTGGAGCGTAGTATTCCTTGAGAAAGTATTTGGAGTCCAAAATAACCCTAGAGGCGGCCGGAATGGTCTCAAAAACCCCGGCTCCATTTTCTTCCATTAGAATGTGCTTGTACAAGAACTGCACATCCTTCATGAGCTGAACCCTAGTGATTTTGTACCTAGGCTTCACTTTTGGTTCGTTCATGGGCACTCTAAGTCCTCCACCCTGATGAATATCGTCATACTTTGGGAAGGTGTTGGAAATGTCCTCCAAACAGTACTCCAAGACTTTGGTGACTGGATTCAGGCACCGTCGCACTAAGTACTTTCCGACTATGTGGTTTCCCAGAGATTTTAGGACGAAGTCGAGGAGACCAGTGTCACCAATGTAACTGCGAGCAGCATCTCGAACCTGTTGCCTTGAAACCCATCGGTAATCAGCTCTTTTCAAGGCTTCCACAATCACCCTTATGGCCATTTCCACTCGTTTAGGAGACCATCTGCACGTGCTGTCCACCACCAACAACCCTATATACATGAACGGGTGAGTTAGTGAGGGGAAATAAAAACATACATTTTTAGATGCGATATACACCCCACTTATTTGCATGAATTTTTATTCTTAATTATTTAGTTCCATTCATTATATCATGCAATATGGAAGATGATCATATTCATATAAATGACTTGTTTAGCACAGAAGAAAAAATGGGAGGAAAGAAGGGGAAATTTGATATCTGTAGTCTGTACACCAGTTCCATCTCAATATTTGACTTTGCACTATGTTTGTGTGGGACTTCTTGTACCACATTGTGGGTGTGAAGTCAAATAAAATAAAATATTATACTATTAGGGTAAATATCGGGTGAGATTTCTTTTTTGAAAAAAATCTTTTTTTTTCTTTTATTCCTCACTCTCATTACCTTTTGATTTTCGTGCAAGTTAAACTACTAAGAGACTATTCTTTTTGCCTTGTTTTTTTCTAGTGTCTAGAGTCTAATAATAAGAGTTTTTGAAGTTTGGTAACTGGTAATCTGGAATTTCTAACTGGAATCTGTACTAAAATATACTCCCTAGTCCCTCCATCCCAATATTTTTGGAGCATGAGGAAGTGGCATGCAAATTAAGTAAGATTGTATGGTTCATCATTTGATATTGATATTAAAAAGTAAGACAGTTAAATATGAATTGGGCCACAGGACAACAACAACATCATATTTTGTTCCAAGCTACCCCCCCCCCCCCCGGCAGGGCCTCTTTATAGGTGTCAACCAGGTTTATCATCAGGTCTGCACCCACATGGCCTTTGGGAACACTACTAGTTTTGATTTGTCATATGCTCCCTTCACCAGGATTCCTTCCTCCAATGTGTCAAAAGTTTCCTGACAATTCCCCCTTCTTTTGTTTGACCAATGCATGGTGGGTATAATGAGGCTTTGGTCTACTCCTTCTCGAAAAGTACTTGAGGAAATGCCTCGCAAGACCGTTCTAGGAGTCAATGGACCGATAAAAAATGGTTCTAAACCAATTCACCACAATGTTTTCCATAGTTTGTTAGAATACACCGGAATGGCCAGCATGTTGGCGTAGTAGCAACTTAGGCACTCTTCGTGGTCAGTCTCCCCCGTGTACTTACTTGCTATTTTGCCATCCCTGCAAATAGGGACTAGGCAACCATTTTATTTTTTTTTGGATCCTCTCTCTTAGTCTTAGATGATCTCCCTTTTCGTGCCTGCTCTACGCGTAGAGCCCCCTATCCTTGTCAAGGGTCACAACCCACCTTACTAGGGAACTTGTGGGTTGCGACCCGTGATCATGGGAAGTGTGAGATAACGTGGGTTTCATCCTTGTACCATAACCCCTCGCGTCTTCCTCACCCACTACTATGGTAGAATGGATCCTTATTTACGGGTCGGTCAACTCAACCCATTTCACGTGAGCTTCACCCTTAACTGTGTTAGCTTTGGAGTTTTGTGGCTCGGTACAAATATATTGATATGAAATTCAGTTAGTATATTGGGCACAACTCGTTACACATATTTGGGTTGGTCCAGTATACACATCATGTTTATTAGAATACTACCCACTTCATACCATCATTTGATCTCAATTATACTAAACATTACTACCTCCGTCCCGTGAAACATTTCCCCTTTCTTTTTTTATCCGTCCCACAAAACACTTCTCATTCCTATTAAAAAGTCACTTTTACCCCTTATTTTTTCATACCCTAACTATCACATCATACCTTTTTACTAATAATCTATCCTTCAAATCATACTTTTACCCATCACATCAAAGGACATTTTTGGAAATTCAATACCAAAATACACTCCCTTAAATCCCTCCTAAAAAGCAAATGTCCCATGTTTCACGGGACGGAGGGAGTATAAATTATCAGTCATCTTCATCTTGAAAATAAATTTAGTCAAATAATTATTTTTTAAATATTTATGAAAAATATTATACGATAAAAATACATTTTTTTTAAAATAAAAGTACTATAAATTATTGTTCCAAAATAAATTAACTGTAATTAGGAATATAAAAATTAGAATGTCAAATACTTCATTTATAAAAGTGCAAGTCTAAACATACTTATCAAACTTAGTTATTTTCTACTCAGTTCTATATCATTCCGTTCAGTTAGTTCTATACCTTTCAGTTAAACACTTGATTTTCTTAACCTATATATGTTTGAAAAATATAAGTGCACTCACATTCTTATACTGACTGTATAAAAAAACGTATACAAGGCTCAACAATAAAAAACTAAAACTATAAAATATATTGGATTAATATTTTGTTTTCCAAATTTTTTTGTGTGCATACAAAATACTTGTATATAAAAACAACTTGGAATTTTAAAACATCAACGAAATATATCAACAATGAATATGATGATATGGAGTATTTGTTTTGCCGAAAATTACTCATTACATAAATTTTTTATTACTCCCTCTTCAAAAAAAGCTTATTGTTGTCCCTAAAAAGCTTCATGTTTCCTCTTTGGTAAAATTTTTGTGGCTCACAATTTTTCTTTCTTCTCTACATCAGTTTTAACTATCCGATTTTATTTTTTTAAATTTTGTGTCAAACACAAAAAAATCCTTTCTCCGTCTCAAAAAATATTTCCTGGTTGAAAAAAGGTGGGTTTTAAAAATGTGTAGTCTTGGTCTTATTTTCTAATTTCAAATTTTATATCCTACAGATCATACTATACTCTATAAAAAAGTAGAGTAAATTCCATAAAACGTCCCCAATTATAGGTCGTTTTACATATTTAGTCTCTACATATCAAATATTACTAATTTAGTCCCTAATTATTATATTCATTTCCACGAATGGTCCTTTGTTAATAATTCCGTCAAGAACATGGACAAAATTATATATTTATACTTATCTCTCCTCAATTAAGCTTCCTCCATCTTCTCATACTCTTTCCCAAACTCGTCACTGAATTTAAGCTCTTAAATCCAAAATTTAAATGATCATTCATAAACAATTGAGATAAGAGTGATAATTTTGGTTTTTGGTTCAAAGCTAGAAACTCAGCGACGGGTTTAGGATAGGAGTGCAAGAAAAGAAGGAAGCTTAATTGAGGAGAGAAAGGAGAGTGAATTCGTAATTTTATCCACATTCTTAACGAAAATGTTAACAAAAGACCATTCGTGGAAATGAATATAATAATTGGGGACTAAATTAGTAATATTTGATATGTAGGGACTAAATATGTAAAACGACCTATAATTGGGGACCTTTTATGGAATTTACTCAAAAAAGTAAGCGCAAAGTTATAAAGTATTAATCCGGATAACATTTAAATTTTAATATAACCACACCAGTAGAAATTGGACTATTGAGATCAGACTAATTGTGGGAATTGTTGCATGGTGGCTAGCTAAGAACAAAGTGGCGGTAGAGGACAGAGAATTAAAGTCGCGATTGTGAACTGCATAGCGGTGAAGACGAAGGAACGAAATCCATTCAGCGTGGAAGGCGAAATCCATTTTTTTAAACCCTGGCCCTAAACAGTTGGAGCTTTGTTTTTTAATTGATCAAAACACGGTTAGGTTAAGTTACAAAGAAAACTATTGCTACAGAGATCATACTCCTTCCGTTCTCAAAAACACTTCCTCTTTCATTTTTTCCACTTCGAACAAAACACTTCCCCTTTCTATTAAAAAACCACTTTTGCCCTTACTTTTTCATACCCTACCTATCACATCATACTTTTTCTCTTATAATCTATCCATCACATCTTATTTTTACCCATCACATTAGGGGCAAAATTGGAAATCAATTATAATTTAACACTTCCTTATTTTTGCCCCCAAATCAAATGGGAAGGGTTTTTCCAAACGGAAGGAGTATTATTTAAAAGT